CCGTACACCGTCGGCGACCCCTACGCCTTTTAAAATGTTTCACCATACTACGGCATATACAGTTGGATCTTAATATATGGTATGTATATATACATACATATATATATAGATGTCTTCATCTCGATGATACTTTTTTTGTTTTCAAAATTCATTGACATCAAGTAACCCGTTCGAGTAATTATTAGATCCCAGCTCTAATAAACCCTAATTCCAGTTAATTAAAGCTATAAAAGGATACTTTGGGGTCGAAGTCCTTTGGGAAAAAAGTCATCGATAAGATCCGAGTAAATGCCGGTGATATGACGAAAAATTTAAAATCGCGATCTATACTTTTTCCATATAAAAAATATATTCGAACTTCCCTTGCAAAAATAATTTAAATTCGAAAGTGTACCTCGATTTTTTTTTTTAGCCTGTAAGCTGGCATTGTCTAGTATCCAAATGCATATATGTACACATGTATGCACATTTCAACATAAATATGCACACGAAATAATTATTAAGGGCCGGTTGTTCAATGTCTGGTTATCACTACTTGCAGGTTAAACATCATTATCGACGTTTTCGTCATCATGCATATAACATGTGCTCGATAAAGCAGTCGTTGTATTTAACCGGAGCTTCTACCTATGATTAGTGCTAATCAGACATTGAACAGCCGGCCCTAAGTTTTTCAGTATACTACTGAAGTGCAGGCACATTAAGTATTTGTTAAGCCTAGAAGACTTATAAATGCCGCAAAAAGTTCTCAAGAGTCTTAACCCTTTCATTGCCTAAAATTTATGAGTAAAAAATATGGCTTAGCTGCGGTTAGTGACTAGAGCTACATAAATACTAAAATTTTAATGTGAAAAAAAAATGAATGCATGCGTTCAGTTTTAAGAGCTGAAAAAAACAGCTTTAAGCTTACCATGCGTGCGTTCAAGGCAAGGAGTGCTGCCTGCACTGCTGTGCTATCAACTGACGTCTATTACTACGTTTATACGCATGCATAAGTCGCTTTAATTCATTTCGCCGCGATTCAAAACATATGTATAAACTGAATTTCAATTCGCTTTGAAAGAACGAAGTGTTTTGGCTCACACTCCATTTCAAATCGGTAGTTTATTTCTCCAGACAGTTAGAAAGAGTGTATAAACACCGCTCTCATTCAAAGCGAATTGGAGATCAGCTGTTCCGCTCAAATTCCAAATAATCGCATCAGTATTTAAATGCTGATTAATAATAATCGTTCTTTTTCTTTGCCACGATTTTATAATACAGAATAAAACTGGATTTTTATCACTTTCCATCATGTTTACTTATAAAATGTCAAATGAAAACAGCTTATTTTGTTTGCTTTTGAAGACGGTTACTTTGATGCCGATATAAAGCCGTAATTATAAACACTAGAGCGAAATGTGTACGGTGTCAATGCGCTTTCAATTAAGTCGATTATTCTGTGCGTATAAACGTAGTATATAATAAAACCAGCTATGTCACACTTGAGAAGTGCATATACGAAAATTTTCTCTACGCTGTGCGCTTGTCTGTGCTGCCATGATATAAAGGTTTGTTGAAGATCTATTACGTATTTTGGCGCTAGTGTTAGTAACCGCCTAAACACATATATACTTAGGCCTGCCAAGCTAATACAAAGCCCTTCCGCTTTTATAACCCTCAGAGTAGATGGGTATGCTAACTCCCTATTCTCAGCATTGTTCCCTGAGATAAGTATTGCACTAGACAAGAGAGAATCTTTCTTGACTACGATATTGTAGGCGCCTCGGGGGTTAATCGACTTAACACTTCGGGGGTTCCATGAGAGCTTGTCATCAAGGATGACTCCCAGTTATTTGACTTTTTAGAGAAGTCAATCTTTTGTCCTTGAGAAAAAGGGTCATTCTCCTTTTCCTAGAAAAAACAACATACTCTATTTTGCATTGACGTTCAATACGTTTTGACTGCACCATTTGGCAACTGTGTTCAGTGCGCGGACGTTTGAGGAGGTTCGTCTAATAGGATGGACCCCAATAGCGGTTGAATCACTTCCACCTCGCGACCGCTGTGCCTAAGTATTTATAAGTGCGTACTAACACTCCGTAGGACCTGGGTTCGATCCCTGGTCCCAGCAACATCTACATATGTAAATTGGCTGTCGCCCCTCGGTAGGCAATGACAAACCTCTGAGTGTATTTCTGCCATGGAAAGACTACTCATTTGCCATTCAGAGGCGGCGCAAAGCTGTACGTTACTCCATTATAAAAGCCTAAGACCGAATTATTATTGTTGTTCACTTCCACTTGTGAACAACCTCTCGTTGCAGAGAAGCTGACCCTTTCCTGTCCTAGAGTAGAAGTTGTGTTTCTAAATTTAAGGATGCTTGACACCCAAGGGCATGTGGTCCGTGGTATTAAAAGCAACCTCTACGTCCAGGAAGTAACCAATCATTGGGTTAAAGATTTCAGTTTTTGGTCAAAACTTTAATCGTAATACATGTCATGTTACGAGGGCAGTTTGATAAGTCGACTTTTTGAATTTCGCGCTGTGGGTATTACCCAGCCTTCTGGCGTGGGTGCCAGCTAGTCAATGTCCAGTAAGAGCCGCCACTGGCCATGCAACGCCCGGTTTTGGTTTTCCTAATAAGTTGAATTTAAGTCGGTTGTATTTTATTTATTTTTTTTAATTTAATTCTTCTGGTTTACTCTTTATGGATCTAACTTTTCATCTTCTAGTCCGGTAAAGATATAATCATCAGTTGAATATCATGTACGTATGTATGCAGGTTGGTGCAATTCTACTGGCTGAAATTTGGCCGGAAAAAATAATATTTTTTAATAAGGTCCATATTCAGTTTGAAATTATGTAGTACCATATTTTAATGCAATAAAAATTTCTACACTAAAAAAACACCCTTTGTTCCACCTTAACACAATGGTAGCTAAGTTTGGAAAAATTACACATTTTTTACAATCTTCATGCTTAGTTATCATTATGCGCGTTCCTTATCTCCCAGAAATAGTCAGAAAAAGTCCGAAGTAGTCAGATTTAGTCCAAAAAGCGTTCCTTAACTCGGAAATGACAGCAAAAATGAGAGAGCAACAGTCAGTGAGAGCGACTCTCATCAGTCCGAAGTAGTCAGATTTAGTCAGAAGAATTTTTTCTGGCAAAATCCTGAAAAGTGTCAAACTCAACTGAATTTAAATTAACGGAAATTAAAGAATACGCAAAAAGTGAGAATAATCTAAAAAGTAAAAGAAATGAATTGAAATTGGAAGGAGGCAAAAAATAATTGATATAGCAAGTGTTTATTGTGCTTGTGCTTGTGTGAATGTGTTTTGTACATACATTTCTGTTCTTATTTGACGTTAGTTTTGTTGTTGCCATTCTTTGGACTAAAAATTTGGTTTTTTGCGTTCCTTTACTTTTCCTGTTACTCTCTTTTAGTGAGCGCATTTTGCTTACGCTCTGGCATTTTGACACTTTTCAGATTTTAGTCCAAAAAGATAAGGAATGAACCTATTATTTTATTGTTGATTTGATATACATACATAAGTATGTAAATACATACTACATACGCTTACACGCAAGTCACAACATGTTATTTTTCGCTCACAACACTTACATTTTTTTTTTACAGACTAATCGGAAAAAATATTCGACGCTCACATTTGTGCGAACTGTTTGGCCGAACTTCTACCCTCGTGACGTTATTACGCGGCGAATGGACTTTATCAGGCAGAAAATATATTTGCAAATTTGCCATCGCCTGCTGAGGAGCGCCAGCTTTTAGAAAACTTTATTTTTTTTTTCAGTTGTTACTCGGACCAGGGATCGAAGCTTGGCCCTATGGAGTGGTTGGACGCTCCACTAAGCACTTGGCTACAGCGGCCGTCGACTATGATTAAGTACCCATTTCGAAATTCCATTTGTAATGCAATCCGCAAGATACATACATACATACATATGCATATACAGTGCCAGCCACTCGAATAGCGCCCTCTTTTGATTCTCGGTATTGACAGTTTTCCTTTTGTTTATTATTCATACATTTAAAAAAACATATATCATATTCTATAACAAAACTCAAATTGTATGCACATTTTCATCAAAATTTTAACAAAATCATTTAAATCCGAGTTTCAAACTTAACACAAAATTTTGAATAATTCAGCAAAATTTTCATAAAAATTCGCAAGTTTTTAATAAACAAAAAAAAAAACATTTGAATCCGATTTTCAAATGTAATACAAAATTTAAATAATTCATCAAAATTTCACAATTCTATAATTCAGCAAGTTTTCATAAAAAATTTTAAACTTTTTCAATAGCAAATGTGTAGCATGTGAATCCGATTTTCAAACTCTAAAAGAAGGTTTTAGTAAATAAAAAATTTTCTTCAAATTGCAAACTTAAAAAAAAATACCGTTGATTTATTTATAATTTTTTTCCAAGGGTGTTGCGCATTTTCTTTCATATAACGAATGAGCAAAATCTATTTTTACAAGAAGGAAAAATTCTCAAAAACTAACGGTAGCCCCTTGAACTTTTTTTACTAAAAAAGCTTCTAGAAATTACTAAAAAAAACTTTTAATTTTAATGAAAATGTGTTGAATTATGTATCACTTTTGTATCAAGTTTGAAGACGGATTTACATGTTATTTGAAGTTTGAAATTTTCAAGAAAAATTTTTGAGTTATAAAATTTTTAGCAAGTTTGAAAAACGGATTTACATGGTTTTTGTAAAATAATACGCTATACGTTTATAAAAAAAATGTGAATATTAAATAAACAATACTGAGAATCAAAAGTGGGCGCTACTCCAATGACCGGCACTGTATATACCTAAAAACTGCATATCGCACGTTTTCAGCCAATTCGTTTCACCTCAAAAGCGGCTATCAGGCGTTGTTTACATTCAATATTTAATGCCTACAGCGAAATTCTGGTACTACTCACTTTATAATCTTATCAAATTGACAGCTGAAACGTAGTGGTTGACTACCTTCTTCGGTTTGTTACACCTCATTTTCTGGCTAATTCAACGACGATAACAAAAGAAAACTTCCGATTATGCAGTGCAGTTTGTGGTGATTCGAAACGCCTTCATACACTTAATCAGTCGTCAAAGTGTAGTGATCGCTTGTGCTCGTAGAATCCGGTGAATGTACAGCATTTTAGCAATGTCTGACGCCGATTCGGAATCGGAAATTTCAGATTATTCCAAAAAGCCCATTTTGGGTAAAATTCAATTGCCAAACAAACCCGCAGCGTCAATGCGTAAACATCGGAAAAAACGCAAATTTAAAGGCATCCAAAGGCGTAGAAAATGTATCTGCCTTAGCATTGTAGTGATAGTGAGTGTAATCGTAGTTATCTGGTTCATAGCAAGCTACAACGTTGATTTTGGTATAGCCAGCGACAATGATCGGAACTCGAGTAAAATGAGTCCAAAAAAATCTATACTTATTCTAAATTGGCATGGCGGAGAAGTGAACCAGCCGCTGAATGGTAGTTGTAACGTTGAAGCGGTGAATACTACTAGACCCTACATAACGCTGGGCAAATATAATAGTTATGATGCTATTATAATGAACTCAACTGCTGAGAATATACTAAGCGGTACAGAGCTAGTGACCTCGTATAGCCAGGCTCAACTCATAATATTCGCCACACAGAAGCCATTGCAATTCACACACAATTTGACGGTGTTAGCGCGTTCATTTTTTCGAGAGTATGACAAATCATTTTCATACTCCCTGAAGTCAGATTTTGTGTGGCATCCATATAAGTTAGTAAGGCTAAATGATTCCAAGATTGTCGCCCCCACTCTGCAACCGCACTGGGATGCGCCGGAAGAGAAATTTCAGGATGTCGGCTTAATGCGCTCCTTGCTGAGAGATGTGACAAATCCATCACCGCTAGCTTTAACTGTATTGAATCGGCCTTGTCAGGTAGTGCGCAAGGAATTTGTGCGACGCATCATGGAAAATATGGATGTGCACACCTATGGTGAATGTGGAGAATACAAGTAAGTTTAATTCCGAATAGTGCTCGTTTGCTGGAAGAACGTCATAATTTAAAATAAATAAAAATTTTAAACAAGTATGTACAAATGTC